GCGATAAGTATATTCAACAAGAACCTCCAATCCACATTATCGTATGCCTTTGTCAAATCAATCTGCAGACATCCTCTCTTTGTTTCCGCTGGTTTATGAAAGTCCGAGACTAACTCTGAAGCAAGCAAGACATTCTCACATAATAATCTTCCTGACACAAAACCTACTTGGTTGTTCTGAACAGCCTCATCCACAAACAGCTTCAACCTTGCCGGGATAATTCTTGATATAACTTTATATATCGTATTGCGGACAGAAATCAGTAAGCTTTTCAGCACCTGTCTTTTTTGGAAGCAACACAATTATACACTACAAGAAAACAGGCAAATTTCCGACGGAAATTCCGACGGCCAAGATTTCCGTCGGAATTTTCCGACGGCTTACCGACGCATTTGCGACTAACATTTAGTCTGTCAGAAATCCGTCGCAAAATTCCGACGGAATACCGACGGTTTTATCTACCGTCGGTATTCCGTCGGAAATCCGTCGGTACAAACGANGGATTTCCGACGGAAAATAATCTGTCGTAATATTCTGACGACTTTCCGACGGACTNCCGACGGAAATCCGATTTTTTCGATGTCGGNAAATTTGAGTGGTTACCATTTCGTTAGCGGTGGCCGATGGGATTGGTGGGGTGTTATGTCGGAGTTTTGTGACGGATTTCCGACGGAATTCCGACGGAAATCCGTTTTATATAAGTTCCTTCATTTCTTCGTTCATTCATAACACAATTTTACAAATCAAAAAAATTTGTTAGCGATGAGTTCATATTTTCGGTCTTGGATGGACGAGCCAATGATGGATATGGGCTCGAACTTATTAACATCCGCTTACGCTGCAGGTATATGCGAGTTCATGAATTTACCCAGAAACCAAGATGCAGCAAAAAAAGGTCAGGATATCAAATGTCCATGTTCTAATTGCTGTAACAGAATTAGTGTTGCGGTTCATACTGTTTGGAATCACTTATATAGATATGGATTTAGGCCGGGATATAAGGTTTGGTTTTTACATGGAGAAAGCAATTACGAATATGGTAGTACTAGTAGTAATGCACCTTATTTTCNGGATAGCGTAGAAGAACGTACAACGGAAGTAGATGTTGGGGTAAGTACGGTTGCGATGGTTAACGACGCGTTTAGAGAGAATTTGCAGTCGGGTGGTTATGAGGG